AGAACAAGTCTTATGAGGAGTGGCTGAGGGAGCTGGGGCTGTTTAGTCTGGAGAAGAGGAGGCTGAGGGGGGACCTTATTGCTCTCTGCAACTACCTGAAAAGAGGTTGTAGTGAGGTGGGTGTTGGTCTGTTCTCCCAGGTAACTAGTGATGAGAGGCAATGGCCTCCAGTTGCGTCAGGGGAGGTTTAGATTGGATATTAGGAAAAATTTCTTTACTGAAAGAGTGGTCAGGCATTGGAACAGGCTGCCCAGGGAGGTGGTGGAGTCACCATCTCTGGAGGTGTTCGAAAAACATGTAGATGTGGCACTTCGGGCCATGGTTTAGTAGGAATGGTGGTGTTGGGGTGACAGTTGGACCTGATGAGCATAGAGGTCTTTTCCAACCTATGATTCTATGATTCTGTGACATGAAGTTGTCTCCTAATAAATGCGTGAGAAATTTTCTTGTTTAATATTTCATTATACTTCATACTAAAATGTTTATGTACTACAACATGATGGAATGGAAACACAACAGAACAATAAGCTTAGTAAACACAGACTGTCCAGGTGGTTTTTTTGTGGCATTTGCGTCTGGTTATTTTTTCATTCTACCACTAGATGGAAGCAGAAATCAAAAAAAGCAACATTCCCACCGTGACTTGGAGTGTTGAGTGAACTTTGAGTGCAGATTTAATGTGTAGTTTGTTTTCTGCAAGTGTTTTTTCAAAAGAACAGTTATGGTAAACGATTTAGTGAAAAGATATATCTTAGGTTTAAAACAAATCAAAAATTCTTCCTGTATCAAGCTGCTGAACAGGGACATTTTAAAAGTATTACTTTAGTAAGTCTGATGTGGTTGACCAATTAGCTCTAAATTGTGGATCTGGAATATTTCTTGATCCTACATCTGCTTTTGTGGTGTTGATTTTTCCTGGAAGCTTTTTCTTTTCTGGTCTGTTTTCCAGGAATGGAAGGAACGGTATGGAAATAGAGACGATTCCACTAGAAACAGAGTTGTCCACACAGACCAAAAAGAATCCAGCTTCTCAGAGACCAGTACCAATAGACGTAAGCTTTGTGGGTTTTGGGACGAGTTTGTTTTGTTTTGTTTAATATCTTGTCTGCACAACACTGGCTGTGTATGTAGCTTCGAATATATTCCTTTTTGTCTTAGATGATGTGCTGATTTGTTCCCTGCTGTGGGACAGTGCTATCTTGCTCATGAAAGACACTTGAAAAGAGTACTGTGTTTCTTCACATCTTCAGCACTTCAGCTGGTTGAGATTGGAGATTTTGGCTAGTCTCAATTACTTGGTCTTCTTATGGGACATATGATGGTTGCAGTTAGAGTAGCAGTTGTCAACAAAGAGACTCTGTTTAGGATATGTCTTGAGATTGGGAGTTTTAAATCTTAAAATTTACCTCTTCTAGTTGCGAATGAAGTCTTTCAGACTGGGATAATGGAACAGTCAGATAGATGACCAACAAATGTAAAGCCGATAACACATAACATCAGTGTATACAGGTTCATTTAATAACATCTGTTAGCAAAAAAACCTTTTTTGTGGATGCTTTAAATTTCCAAAAAGTTTATTCGTCACAGTGTTTTTTCTGTATTTTGTGTGCTTTTGTAAGCTGTGAACAAGTAAGAAATTAAACTGAAAGAAGAAGGAAAAAGGAGAAGGAGCAGGGAAGCTTTGAATATGCTTTTGAGACAACTCTGGTAGATTTTCCCCTCCTCTTTAGAAATATGGATACCGAGATTTTCAATGATAGACTAACTGAAATTATACAAAATTACATTTTAATGTTAATCATGTAAATATGTAGCATTCCAGTACCAAAACAAGCTATAGGTACTAGCCTAATGACGGTGGCAGAGTGAACTGCAAAACAGCTATATTTAGTTAATTCATGAGATTGCCTCTTTAAAAACAAACAAAACCAAACCAAAAATGCTCCAGCTAGCTTAGTTAAAGTGGGAAGTTGGGAAGACAAACAGGTGTTTGATTGATATAGAAATAAAGTTAGCATATAACTTCTCATTTCTTTGACTCTTTGCAAAGTAGATCTGATCCTACTTGAGGGGTGAAAGAAAAATTGTAGTTACATTGCTATGGAGATAGAAGAAGGAAATATTACAAATTTGAATGTGTAGCCAGGTTTGGATTATTATTGAATCTACTCTAAATCATCGCATTTACACTTTGGATGAGATAATAGCTTATTATTGTTATGGTCTTTTAAGTTTAATGTCTACAAACGCTCCAAGGTGTTCACAGAGCAAATGAGTGTCTTTATTTCCTTTTACCTATTCAGCACTATCAAAGTATACCCGATCAAATGGTAGGACCGAAAGAGATAGAATAGAACTCCTCCAGGATGCAGAACCTTTGGATTTTAACGCAGACTCAGTTAATGATGACCCTCTTGAATCGGACTCGGGAAGGTGAGGAATTTTCTGAGTTATTTACAATTAAAAGGTGCTAATGTCTTCTGTCTTCTGACCTGTAACAGCTATATCAGATGGTTTCATAGTAATAGTTTTGTAAATAAAATGTATGATTTCACCCAGCTCTTCTTTCTTCCTTGTCCCGGTGATATGGGAATTGTTTTAAAATCAATTGAAACCTGAAGGTTTTTCAGTTTTCTAGAAATGTCTGAGTAAGATTTGAGTTTAATATAATTTTGTATATTGGCATAATCTGAAGAATACTGCATATAAAACCAGAAAACTGGAGAATGATCTGCATATGTACAATATAAAGTTTTCTCTGATTTCCTAGAAGACTTTAGACAGCTCGCTTGATTTCCTTGTATAAAAACCATCATAAAGGGCTACAAGAAAGAAAACTGAATATCACAGGACCAGTAGTTGCAGGAATTCACCTGGGGATCAGATCTTAGAACTACTGGAGTAAATTAAAGTCTGAACTTACTGAACAAAAGGTCCTAGACTACACAGTGTAGCTCTGTCTGTAATAGAGAATTCTGTGATTCTGTGGGTGTCACTGCAACACCAAATTTCCGTAGTCGTGAAGTAAGAGTACCTTGCATAACTACTAAGCTCTGTTCATATTTCAGAAACATGTAATACATTTTATGGGTGCTTTTTTAATCTAGGTAGTTATGATGTAGAACCATTTAATAATAAAGAATTTAAAATTCCTTTATAAAAATGTATAGTTTACGTTATTTTTCAGCTAAAACTAGCATACCCAATCCAATAAAAAAGCATGAACTGTTTCAGTTGACTTACACCTATAATGCCAACAAATCGATAAATGCCTGTTCAAAAACATGAAAGAATGCCGTTAAATGACACTGACAGGTTTTAGATTGATTCAGCAGTGTTAGTATGTATTAACAACTAACCTTTCTAGTCTAATGTCACCACATTTCAGAAGTTGGTTCTTTTTAAGCACAAGAGTTTAAAGAGCTAGCCTCACAGTTCTGTCAGCTGTTGGCTTCAATACAGTGCGAAAGGGATAATAGTCTACAAAAACAGGAATATGCATATATAATTCTTTTGGGGCAAATAATTTTGAAGTACAGTATCTGAAGTCTTCCAGCACCTATACGGACTTTGCAGAGTGGAACATTCTGAACTTTTCCTTTAAAAAGAAAATCTGGAGCCACAGAGGTTAGTTGAGCTTTCCTTATTTCATAGAGGTAATAAATCAAGAATAATTGCATATGAAATTCCAATTCACTTAAAAATAGCTTATGAAATACTGATTTTTAAAATTGTAGTTACTGCAATAGTTACAAACATTCTAGAGCAGTAAGAGCACTAGGGACACTATGTTCTGGCTTTGTGTCTGTTCAGATTTTGGGTAGGTACTGTGGAGAAGGAGGTACACTGTGCTGGCATTGAAACTTACAGTGCTTTTAAAATGTTTTTGAAATATATTTGACCAACAATTTGTGAAGCTTCTTTTTTCCCACTATGTATGCAGCCATTTGTTTTCAGTATCTTTAATACTGTTTTTCTCCTAGGAATACCCAATGAGATGTTCTGTTAATCAACCAAACTACTTTTGGATGTCATCCTTTGTTTGTTTGTTTGATTTAAAAAAAGAAAAAAGTGTTCTATTCAACAGAAACATTCAGCTTGCTTCCTTTGTTTTGGGAAACAAGGTTCTTTAAGACTGCCAGTATTGTTATCACTGTTTTTCTTGATCACATGACATTTAACTTTGTGACTGCCTATCAGATTCTCAGGGAAACAGTAATTCAGTAGAACTTCAGATCTTATAACTCATTGACAACTAAGGAGTAAGAGTGCAATGAGAGCTATATGATTCCATCGGTCTTTATTTTTCTATCTCCTGTCATACTTTTTCATGTTTAAAAATGATTCTGCAGGTACCAGCCTGGTGGAAGATACCTGTCAATGTCTCGAAGCAAAATATTTGATGATGTCTAAGCTCCTCAAACCTAAAGAAAATTCAATGGAAATCTATTTCCTACTCATTGCTTGGCAAATAGTGTATTTATGATACATCACAGAACCAGAAGAGACCATTTGTGTTTAAAAAAAGAATATGAAGGAACAACTACTTTGGAAATGCACCTGTATGATAACTTCACTACTTAAGACAAGAATACGCTTCTTCTATTGTAAATATTGTTGCGCATCAGTGTGGGCTTTTGTGTCATGAATAAAAGGACAAAACAATTAAGTTAAAAGAGGGTAAACTTCATAAATATACCTAGGGCTCAACTTGAACTGTTTGTGGAAGGAATTTTTTTGGATTTTAACGGATGCTGTGAGAGCATCTTAATGCATCCGAAGTGCAGTTATATCAATTACTGTAGTAAACACTTTCTATAATTTTTCTATTTGAACTTTATGCCTAGTCCAAAATCTACTGGATTAAATTAAGGCTTCTTTTGGCTTCAGTGGTCTTTGAATCAGACCCTATATAAGCAGAAAAATTGAATGGCAGGCTGTTCTTCATAAAATAACATGTTCCAGTGTTCAAAGGGTAGCTACAAAGAAGATGGAGACTCCGTTTTCACAAGAAGGCACATGGAAGAGATAACAGGTAATGGGGACGAGTTACTTCTGGGGAGATTCTGATTGGACACAAGGAAAATTTTTCACAATGAGAACAATCAGCCATTGGAATAATCTCCCCAGGGAAAGCGGTGGATTCCCCAACACTGGACACTTTCAAGATTCGACTGGACAGGTGGCTGCGCCATCTTGTCTAGACCGTACTTCTGCCAAGAACGGTTGGACCAGATGATCCTTGAGGTCCCTTCCAGCCTGGTATTCTATGATTCAACGATTCTGTGAAGTTTGGCATAAATTTTGGAGCAAGGTGTAATGGTCAAGAAAGGCTATATTTTTTTTTTTCCAACATTATATGCAGATAAATGATTTTAGCATGTGTAAGTAGTTGAAATCAAATATGGACCAGAGTTTCACTGTCATATGAGCCTATGTGCAATAGCAAGAATACATTATCGAAGATACCATGTCTGCTTAAGATTTTTACAGTTGTAATGGTTGAAAATCTTGGCACACCAGTGTTTTTGTAACTGTAAAAGAAATATGATGTGAAAATTGAGTTAAATGCTGAAACATTGTAATTTGCACACACCTGAGGCACGGCTTCAAATTGTAGAGTTTTTTTAAAAGAAGGGAAATACATAGCATGGCTAGATAATGGTAAACGCTCTTAGGGTCCCAAATGCCCTGGTTGCATTATGTATCTGTTCTTAAGGTGCCTGTATTTTGCAGTAAGTTGTTTCAAAAAGAATAATGTTTATTCATTTGAATGCCATTCAAAAATGCCAATTATTAACAGCGTAAAACAGCTTCACATTAATTTCATTGGTGTAGATACATTTTTAAACCGTAGTTAATGGAATTAATTTTCAAATGTAATCATAAGGTAAAAGACGTGGTCAAATTCATGATGTCTTTGGAAATTTGATTAGTTTAAGAGGTTGCTTTATTGCAGTTTGTCTTAATTCTTTACCGCTTGGGGGTTTTCAGACGTGCTTGTTTCAAAGTTAAGTTGAAAACTGAAAAAGAACATGTTTCTATCGTAAATTGTTCATCATACTGAAAAAAACCAGACATCCCTTAGAGCACCTAAGACTGCGTTATTCTGAAACGTAGATTTTAATGGATGAGTTGTTCTACTGATTTTTAAAAATAGTCATTGTTTTCTGAAGTAATTGTTAATGGGAATCTAGCTACCTCCTGTGATTTTAGTACGTCGTGTGTTCTAACAGTAGTGGTGTTTGTAATATATTGATCTGCCTGTTTAAAAACACTGAATTGTTACTATGAAGGAGAAAAAGTACCCTATTTGTATAGAAATAATTATATTAATAAATTTGCAGACGTAAAAGAATCGTCAGATCTGTTCTTAGGTGAATACACTGAACAACAGCCATGCCCACATGTATGCAGGTTCATGCAATTTCCAGATTACCTCTAAGAGAGCACTTTTTTTAGTTTGGGTATTTAGAGTATTGTAAAAGCTTCATCAAAATCTTGTGGCTGTATCAGGGACTGAAAGTTGAGAAAATGAGACTCATTTTATTCAGGTTGTTCTTTAGCGACTTTATGTTAACACCTATTTAATTTATTTTAGAACTGCTTAGAAATGCTATCCTGAATTCAGCCTTATATGAAAGGGTTTGTATATCTGCTTGCATATCCAGCCACATGAATGGTCTTAGACTTGGTATTTCTATTTTTAAAATATGTGTCTCATTTAAATGCATTGGATGGTCCAGATCGAGTGATTTAAGATATGTAGATATGTAGCCTTGCATACCGTGCTTTTGGGAACTGAATGTTGGCATATTTGTTCTGTCAGTATATAGTTGTATTTACTTGCAGCTAAAGAATGTCAATTATGTACTTCTTTATTAATAATTTCACTTACTGAATTACTGAGCGCTTAGGGTATACTTCCATTTCATCATTTCTGCAGTTTCCTCTTCAGCTGTGAACACCAAAAAAACCTCAAAACTCCAAAAAACCCATCCAAGTTAAGTACAAATGTTTGAATATCTTCATGTCGAAGATTTAAACCAGTGAAAAGAATCCATGCAAATTGTGATGAACTTCAAAAAGTGGGAGTGAAAACAGTAGCTACTTTAATACTGTGTCCGTGCTGGATTTCTTAAAAAGTGTGGATAGCAAAAAGGTCTAGTCAAACTTAATAATTCTAATAGATATATAGTTCTTTTTTTTTCCAGATGTTTAAAAATATACATATTCTGATATCTATATTGGAAAATGAGTCCTCTGCACTCCGCTTAGGAAAGGTGCAGTTCTTAGCAGTGAAGTGAGGAAGTCTTTTTATGAGGGAAGGTAAAGGATAGGCAACTTCTAGCTGTGCTGATAGTGACGCTTTGGGCAAGCTGTGATATATTTTATTATATAGGTACGATAACAAGTTAAGAAACAGCAAACTTCATACTACTGTAACTACACTGCTGGAATTATGCCTTATTTTGCAATCAAGCACTTGTAAAATAAATTGTCATTAATAGTATTGATGGGAATGGCAGAAAGCTGCTATCTTTTCAATATTTATTCTTGCTATTTTAAAACATAACCATGACAATGATTTTTGCATATGAAGTATTAAAAAAGTGATTACTCTGATTTTCTGTAGTTATGATAATTTGTATTTTATTAAATTTATCTTGGAATACTGTAAATGTTATGTGAAAAATACAACATTTTGTTCCAGTTTTCATTATTGCTGTAATTATGTGCAATCTGAGGGGCATTTACAATACCAAATGGAGATCACTATGAAGGAAAACTTCTTATGGGGATACTTTAATCTGTTCATTACAGACAAATATGTGCATTATTAACAAAAACACTACTTAGGGTATATATTGTCTCCTAGCTTTTAGTTTAAAATTCAGAAAATGTTTAATTTTTTCAGAGCAAGTTATATGTGAATATTGTGAACTTTCTGAAACTTTTACATTCCTTTTCCCTAATGGGCTCTGCAGGAATGTGTAGGGCTTCATGGCAGTTCTCTGATATGAGCTGTGCCTCTAATGAAGTAGTCTAGTCTGAAGCTGAGACACTCCTACACCATTTAATTATGTTAACAGAAACTCAGTATTCCTAGCAAAAAAAGCACCTTGAACTACATCCCTTTCTAATACATTAATAGCTGTCATTGATTATGTTGCATAATATTGGGTATCTTTTGTTTCAGAAATATGGTAAGCCCAATCAGGTTTATTCTTTGTTTCTGTTAAAAAGCACTGGAATGTATTCCTCAGCATGCTTTTGGGGGGTGTGTGTGTGTTTTAGTTGTAATTGGCAAGCAATAATAATACAAAACTTCAGTTATTTCTTCAGGATAATATTATCGTATTTGATATATTCCTGTGAATTACAATAGTTTCAGAGTGATAGCTATCACTGTAGAAATTAATTAATTTCTATAGAAATACCTTATATTTCTATAGAGATATCTGAAATATAAGGGAATTAATTTGTAAGTATAGTTTTAGTAATAGAAGATTTTCATTCTCCAGTGTATATCAGTATAGGCTGTAGGAGTGCTGCTTATGGATAGACTATCTTCTTTTGCCTTATGATACAAGTATGTATGCATAATACCTTGTTTTGAAATTCACGGAGTTATAAGTTTTTCTCTGTAGCATTCTAAATTATTGTTGTATTGGATATATTTTTGAAATGTGTGTTAAAATAACCTAGTCAGAGTCAAGTTGGCATGAAATAAATAATTTCTGCAATATGTTTTCCTTGGTGTATTTTTGATATTCACACTTTTCTGAAGTGTTTTTGATAGTAATCTTTCAGAGAAATTTGACCTATTTCTTTTTTCCAGGTAGAAATTAAGTTTACTTTAGAGGACAATCCAACCTTGTTTTGGTCATCTTTTTACATCTTCCTTAAAGCGAATTAAAAAGGGAGATTGAGAAGAAGCTTGCGTACCTGGAGGTGTCATTGTTGGGGTCCGGAGAGGAGGCTTGGACCCACGCTTGGGGCCGGTACCTTTACTGACAGCTCACCCCAGCTGCATGAGCAGCTTCTGCGAGCTCCAGGAGGCGGAGAAGGGCAGCCAGGCCAGCTGAAACCGTACAGCCTGTGAGGACCCTGTGTGCTCCTGGGGCTGACTGGGCACTGGGTGTTTTTGTAAGGCGGAAGGTGGGGTGGAAGGTAGGGCTCCTTCACTTCCCTTTCTTTCCGTGTGCAATCAAGCTGGGACGTAATGCCTGCTAGATGTACCCAGCCATTGGTGAGAACAGAGGCGGGGGGCCCCCCCTGCCGCTACAGCGATGAGCAGATGGGGAAGGTGAAGGAGTTAGCTCTATCTCTTCTTTCACTGCTTGCACATTTATCACTTTTGTCTTCCCCAGCTGGAAAAAAAAAAAAAAGTCAAATACAAGGTGAGGGAA